GTAAGTCACAGATTTGCCTCTTCTATTAATGAAGGAGAGTGAGACCAATTTCAGAAAATTCAACATCTCCAAAGCCAACAGGAGTAACCAAATCTTGCCTCTTCCAAGCCAAGAAATTATCTTCTCCAAGATATTTAGATATGCCTGACTCCACAGACAGTCCCAGAATATTTTTTCCAAGTATAATTTGGTTTTCTATCAAGTTATGGCCCTAACTGTGGACTCATATTTACTCTTCTGTTAATTCAAAATATAATTTTTGGAATCAGAGGCTACCTTTACTAAAAGCCAGTTGCAGAAGGCTTTCTTCTGATATAAGGACACCACGGGGTCATGGCAATAAAAGCAAAGGGACGAGAAGGAGTGGTTAAGAACAGAAAAGGAAGGAAAAGCAGCAGCAGTGAGAAAACTGGGAAGATGGTAGTGGAATTTGGATAAACCTCAGGAGATGCTGGGATTTTTAGGGTGCCTTGTCTCTATGTGAGGCATTCTTTCCTGTGGCTAATTTCTCCATCACTCCTCAGACAAAAAGCAGATCCAGGGAAAGAAACAAGAGGGATCACACTTTTCACAGGATTTCTCATTATTCCTGCCTCCTGCACTTCCCTTTTCTCCACAACCCTTGCTGCCAAAACCTGTCTGACCATTAAGTGCTGTTTATAGGCAATCAGTAAGTGATAAATTCACAATGGCATTACTGAACCGTGCAGTTTTTAGAACATTACTACAGCAGCACAGTTTTGACACCAATCCTTAAATAACAGCAGAAAGCTGCTTCTCCAAATCACTTGTTGGTAACACACATCTGTTTTGGCCAGCTGCTCCAATGAAATACAGAGCAGCACCTGGGAACATGGCTGCCAGGGAGATCACACTAGATGCAGTACACGTGGAAAACACCTCAGAAGTAGTTCTGCTGGCCTCCTCTCTATCTCGGTGTTACATTGCACCAGGAGAGTGCAGGGGGCTTAAGGAACTGACCCCAAGCTCACTGAAGTGACTCTCTTCCCATTCCAGTGGGCTTTCAGTCATGCTGCTTGAAGGAGAGGTGAGGAAAAAATTACTTTAGAAGCAGTTTTAAGAACACTCTCTACTATGTGATATTTCATCATAAAAGTAATGAAAATAAAAATTAACTGATTCACAGTTATCTCTACATAATAGAGATACAGCCAGTTTCTGATGTTCAAAGCTACATGAAGTCTGCAGAGAAAAGGTGAGCACACCATCATAAAATAAAGTGCTTAACAGATGACCAAAGTAAATAATGGAAATACCAGTGGTTTCTTTACAAACATAAGAGTGAGAAAAGCAACATAATATCACCCGTCAGGATACAACAAAAGGAACATTATGACAACTTTAAAGTGCATAAATAAAAACTGAAATACAAAGACTAGAGACAATTTTGCATTCTGGTTTAATCAGTCAAAGGCAGCTATTCATGCCCACCCCCCCTTCCCCACTCCCCTCCATATCACTGTCTAATTCATTATTGCTATCTATGGAAACACGGGGAAGGAGAATCAGTCCCACCTGTGCAACGAAGAAAAAGGAGAAAAGGTCACAGAGCTAAATCCTATAAACACTTTAAAAATTGAAATGAATCTCTTAGAAAAATCTAATTGAAATTGACTTGAATCTGAGTCCTGTGACCTGGATGGAAAAGGTGGTCGAAGGAGTGTAAGCAGCAGGTAATGATGGGAGGTGAGGTATTGAGCCGGTTTGCTGCAGGGGTGTTTTTGGTATGTTCTTATTTAATATCTCAATTAATGATGTGGAAAAGGAGGTAAATAGCACATTAATGAAATTCACAAATGACAATAAACCAGGAGGCTTGCAAATGTCAGAGAGGATAGCAATAGTATAAATGGAAACTAACAAGGTTAGATATGTAGACGGGCAATAAAATGAGATTCAGTGTGGAAAAATGTAGACTAATATACTGAGGAAAGATAATCAGAAATATGAAGAGTCCATGAGAAAGCAAAACCTGGAAAGCATCTGCACGGCAAGATACCTATGCATGACAGCAAACAACAAATTGAATATGAGTTCTCAAGGAGATATATCATTTTAAAAGACCGATGCAATTTTGGGCTGCATATGCAGTAGAATAATGTCAGAAGAGGAAACTTATTGTCCATGTATCTGGAAAGATTTCTGCAGTACACTGCATCCACTTCTAGACACCTCCATAACAGAAGGATGCTAGTATGCTGAAAAGGACTTCCTTGGAGAGCAACAAAACTGATTAGGCAAGGGGTGGGCTTGATTTATTAATCTAGGTAATAAGTTATCCTGGTATTAGTTGGGATAGAGTTAATTTTCTTACCAGCACCTGGAGCAGTCCTGTGTTTCAGATTTAGGACAATCATGTTGGTAACACACTGGTGTTTCAGTTCTTGCCAAAGAGTGGTCAAGGACTGTTCCTTCTCATGCTGCCCTGCCAGCAAGTAAGTCAGGTGGGATGCACAAGAAGCTGGGAAGGGTTGCAGCCAGGACAGCCAACCCCAACTGGACAAAGGGATATTCCAAACCATATGGTGTCAAGCTCAGCACATAAACTAGGGGGAAAGATAGCTGGGGGCCACTGCTCTGGAACTGGTCAGTGCACAGCGAGCAACTGCATTGTGCATCACCTGTATATTCTAATTATATTTTTAACACTACTGTCCCATCCTCTTCTGTCCTATTAAACTGTCTTTATCTAAACCCAAGAATTGGACTTTTTTTTTCAAGTTGTCTCCCCCATCCTGCTGGAAGAGGGGGAGTGATTGAATGGCTGTCTGGTGTGTAGCTGCCTGTCAGGTTAAACCACAACACAGGGGTAAAACAACCACTGTCTGAAAATATATGAATGATGAACAGAGCGAATGGAAAGGAATTTCTTGGATGCAAACATGCAGTGGGTACAGCTAAATGTAAAGAACAGCAAAATTTGGACAAAGTATCCGAGAATTTTTCAGAAACCACAATTCAGTCTAGCAGGTAATATTCAAACGAAGAATGAATTAGGAAGTCCCACCAAACAAATAATTTGAAACTTAAGCAGGTAAAGCACTAAATGGCAAACCATAGAGAACAATTGTGAACTCATAGGAAGCTGAACTACCTGGCCTAAGCGTTCGTTTCCTACATACAGCAATATTTCTCACATACACTTCTGTCCTAGTCCAAAGTCTAATTGTAGAGTAAAAGCAAAATGACTGCATACTTTGGCTATTTAAAGTACTGAGAGACAAACAGATGCATGATCTGTTTTTACACAAAACCCACTTCTTTTTCAGCAGACGTGGCTTTTTAGTGATGTGATCCTCAGTATATTTTGTACATTCAAAGGAAAATGTGATTAAGTTACTTATTTGCTTATTCATATCTACTGCCTTTCTCTTTTCACATTTTCTGTACACTAATGTCTTTATTCATTCTCATGTAATATACTAGAACTTGCCTAGTTGCAGTACAAATCTATTCACAGTGAAAAAGGAAGACTGTAATGCTGCAAGGCATTGTAATGCTCCGAGACCCTGGTGTTAAAAGTAACAGGGGAAACAAAGACTGAAAGTGAGATGTAAGCTAAGAAATACATGGATGTAATTTTTCTTGAAGAGAAAAAAATGTGAATGTATCAGTTAAGTAATTTGTGTGTATTTACATGTACCTACTTTACCAAGTTTCTCACTTTTATGCCACCCAGGCAAGTCCCCTTTTATGAATGTCTGCCTTGGATTTTACAAAAAATTCTTCCCATATTCTTCCAAGCCAAACAAAGAGGTAAAAGGTTTTTCAAAGTTTTCCTGTCCTTCTCACTTCCCCTAGGGGTGGTTGGAGAGCTGAGGAAGGAGCACAGCTTATTGAGAAGAAAACTCCTGTTTTTACTGTAATAAAAGGTGGCAATCTTATCATGTATAGATGCTGAAATGATGTATAGACGAAGGACGTTTGCAGTGAAGATTGCCATAGGCAAAACAGCAGATCTAATCAAAAGCTCTGCACGCATGGATGTAGCCAGCCGGTGGGAAAGGAAAGCATTCGCAGCACAGAATCTGGAATTGCTCTTCTGTCTCTCCACGGCTTCCCCACCAGAGCACAGGAGAAACCAGGAGCTTTGACACTCCAGGCAGAGAGGCGCTGAGCCAATGCACAAACTTTTCATGACTCTGTCACAGGATGCTATTAATGTAATAGCAGGTTTATTTTTTTCTTTCTTTTTTTGCATGGAAGCACATGCTGCTATCATCTATCTCCTATCCACAGTCAGTAGAATGAGGTGGTGCTTGTATGGCAAGTGCTGTAAAAATATTTCTATTGTACAAAATAAATTACAGATCAAACACATACATAAAAAAAAGATTATTAACATTTAGAATGCTTGCACTTTCAAAACTGTCAGACTGATAAATGTATGCATGTCCTCAAATTCTCAAGATTACTGAAAGTCAGGACACAAACCACAAGAAGTAAAACACTTTCAGCTAAAGCTACCGCAGAGTTCCTCCTTCACCCCGCTGAGAGTAACTGTGTTAACCTAGGTGTCCCAGAATAGAGGTATTACACAATCTGTGTGTTCCACGATCTGAGAACAAAGACTGAGAACAATGAAGCACAGAGAAATGTGTTAAGGTACTGTGGCAGACACACCTCGGCACTTTTTCTGTTAATTTTTGTTAATCTGCCTGGGGGAGGAGAGTGTTTTTATCTAGCAACACAGGTATTTTAAACTGTACCCTATTTTGGAACTGTCAAAAACCAGTCAGCCTGTAAGTCAACACGTGGGGATTTTTTTCCAGTAGTTGGTTGGGGTTTTCTCCTGTATGCCTCTGTCTCACCTTGTTGGCCCGCCTATTTAGACTGCAAATCCCTTGGGTGGCAGGACACAGTACCACAGTTTAGACAGTGCCAAGCACAGTGGGATCCAGTTTTTACTGGGCCGTGTGAACTGCCATGAAGCAGCAAAATAATAATAATAATAATAATAATAATGACAACAACAACTACTTACCACCAATCACTGTTGTAGAACCCTGCAGAAACCAAGGGTCAGAGACTCTAAGGGGACAAGCTGGCAGGAGGAAACTTGCACTGCTCCTCTACCATGAAAGGTGACAATTTGATTGCAGACACCTCTCCTCCTCCCAGTGTCCTCATTCTTATGGTGTAGCATGAAATGCCTCCCTGGGCACAGAAATCAACAATAACCCACCAGATCTACCTCAGCTCAACATGGCAGCAACCCCAACTACTCCAACCCCTCCCTTCCCCCCCAGCCCATCAGGTATGAGTGTGAGGGGTTCTGCTGTTGGGACAGTGCAAGACAGACAGCAGGATGTTTAATGGTCTATGCTGCTGTCCGAGCCAGACACATGAGTTGAAGCTCTGTCTCTCCACATGCAACTTGGATATCTGGCAAGTCTCAGTGAGACACATTTTCCTCTTGGCCTCCTTTCCTTATTTCTAGGCCCAGTGTTCATATTCAAAGTAGGCGGGGTGGGGGGGGAGCAGAGGGGGGCACACCAAACAGTTTTAGTCTGCAGAGAAACAAGAAAACTGGAGGTAAAAGAGGATAAATTCTCAGAAAATACAAAACCTGAGGAAATTTGCTTGTCTGCAGCATAAAAACAGATTTGGAAGGGGTGACGGGGACTGACTAGCACTCAGTAGCACATCATCGGAGGCAGGGAAGAGACATCAGGCAGGGGGTTGGGAAGCAGCGACCAGCTGCCCCATATGGTCAGCTCTTGGTAGGCAATTTGATTTTCATTTTCTCTGCTGATTGTGCTCATCCCTCTGGTATCTGGATGGAAAAACAATGGTGGAGATAATAGAACAGGATTGCCCAGGGCATTTTTAAGGGCTTGAGAGCCATTCATTCATAGATCAAATCTAGGCCAGAATGGATGCAGGTAATCTGCTGAATGTTGGCTTATATGAAATGTTGCAGTGGTATTTCACAAGTATTCACATAAAAATTGAATAATTCACAACTTTCTTAGCATTCTCAGCAGATAGCTCAGCCTCCACAGCTCTCAGGTCTCTACAGCCTCTTAGTACTAATGACTTAGCTCTACAAATAAATTTAAGAACACAAGTCTATGCAGGTTCTGGGTAATTGTAATTGTGGTCTATTCCGAAAAATGGTTTGAGGCAGTACGAGTAAAGTAAGGTGTGGGAAAGATCCCATTATTGTACCAGTTCTGACAATAAAAGAAACCCTTCATTCTCCTAGGCTGTTAATCTGGTACCTTCCATGAGCACAAACCTAGAAGAGGTACATATCTAATTTAGGTAGTTGACCTTCCATTGTCTTCCATGTGTTCACAGGATAGTGAGTGACAATGGCACTTGTCATATCCCATTTTTTATTGCATTTTGTCCTGCAGCAAATAGAGAATTTATTATCATTGTCATCATAATTTTAAAATAAACGAATTATCTCATAGGAGAAGAAATCCTCATACTATTATAAAATGTATGTATCTGGTCATGTAGACCATGTTATCTAACACTGCCTTTCTTTTCAAAGAAATTTGAAACTATTTTCTTCAAAGATCACCAAAATAAACATTGACTAACACATATATATACATATATATATATATATATTATATATTTTATATATATATATAAAAATTGGAGGCAAATTATGATGAGTATCCAGACTCATCATATCTGAGTCTGAATATCCAAAAATGTGCCCCAAAACATTTTTAGTTTAAACAAACACTGAGCAAAAGCTATAAAGGTAGAACAAGTGTTTTCTATTTCATACTCAGAAAGGAAATCATCACTGCAACTACAATTCAGCTGTTGATAAGGATGTTCAAACACCACCATGGTGAGACAGCATGGCCTATGTTTACCTGGGAGGCAGGAAACCTCTTTGGCCTTACATCTGGGAGGTCCTTTCTCCTACTCAGTGTCCCCATTTGAAAGGCTGCCTGTTAATGAGTACCTGCATAAATTCATGCTCTCCATGGGACTTGGACACACCACTGCAATGCCATTAACAGCAACAGTTCTGAATTATGTGGAAATCTTTAGCAGCAGGTAGGGAGAGCCATGCCAGAATGCAAAACCAGAAGAAATGGCAATTCAACAAGAAAGTTGAACTGATCGGAAGGTTTCCCATGTGGATAAAAACATGACCACCGTGGTGCAGCAATGCCCTGTTTCTATGATGACAGCCAGCATATAATCACGACAGGGATGTTCAGCCTTTAAACAGCAGCTTCTCCCAGCTCTTCAGCTGCAAACCTCATTTTTGCACGTGCATGTGTACACGAACACATGAATGGAAGAGAGTCCGGATTTTATTGCAATGTGCAGGGTGGGTGATTCAAGCCTTTGTGTAGGAAGTTGACTCACCTCCTTCTGAGTGAAAAAATGTTCAACACAACTGTAATTCCCTCTTTTCACGTAAAGTCAGGCAACATATAAAGAACCTTCCAGCTCAGTATTTCCTAAACAGTGGAAACGTGCCTAGAAAGTTTAGCTTTGAAACCTATGACTGCAACTAAACAGGTCTGCGCCTTCATGTCGAGTACCTCGAATCCCTGTGGCTCGGCAGCAGGCAGGAAAGGGGGGGAGGTGAAGTGGGAGGGAGAAAAAACAAGCTGGCTTGGGGGGAGAGGGGCGAGTGTTTTGGGCTTATTTAATAATGCACTAGTAAACAGCTCAGGCACAGAAATGCAGTGCAGTGAGATCCGGAGCTATCCTTTGGAGCCTACTGCTTTAAATTTGCGCGCTGTAGCTTGAAGCATTGCACAAACTCCCGGTCTGCTGACTGCCTCCCTGGAACACAAACACACGGGTGATTGGGAAAGCTGTTTTCCAGCCTGCCCTCCCTCGTTTCTGCCGGGCTGCTTTTGGTGTTTATTTATTTTTAAACAAGTCGTGTACATGGAAAAAAGAAAAAAAATAAAAAAATAAAGAAAGGAAAAAAAAAGAAAAACGAGAACAAAACCCACACATCTTTAATCAACACCTATTTCCTTCCAGGACCCTGTGATCCTCTATTGATTCCCATTAAAATGCTTTTCTTTTTCTTTGCCCCCTCTGCTGATCGAATTTCAGATCAGCCAGGATGTGCAACTAACCTTCCGGCACAACTGAACCCAACTGACTCACCCAGATCAAAGGCTCGGCGCATTCATTAGAGCCCAGCACAGCCCAGGCAGGATCCGTAATGCAACATCTCCCTTTGCATTGCAATTAACGTGGGGGAGAGGAGTTCTTATTATTTTTATTTTTTGCAAATGTTCTGGCTTTTGATTTTTAAGCGGGGGGGGGAAGTGGTGGGAGGGAACGAGAACAAAAGAGAGATCTTTTTACCCGAGGATGACGTCAGTTTGGTGTTACTGACAACTATTGATGCACGTGGAGCAACTGCAGGCAGATCCCCCTTCCCACCCCCCGCCTCCCGGCACTTCTCAGGGAAACAATATGCGGGAACAGCCCGCGGGACCCGGGAGCGGCTCCGGGTCGCTCCGCCAGGAGCCCGAGCGCCCGCGCCCGCCAGCAGCGGCGGGAAGGGCGGAACAGCCGCGGGCCCAGCGCGGAGAGCCGGCTCCGACCCCGGAATGCTGCTGGCTCCCGCGGGGCACCCGGGCCGAGGACACCGTCCCCGTGGCCCGGCTCCCGCCGGGCGCTCCCTGCCCCCTCCCGAGCCCGGCCCCGCGCAGGCACCGCCGCGCCCCAGCCGCGCTTCGTTCTGCCGCCGGGGCGCGGCCGCCCGCAAAACCCGGCCTGGAGCTCCGGAGCGGCGCGGGGTGGGAGCTCGCCTTCGGCTGCCTCGGTGGCGTCGGGAGGAGGCGTAGGTTCAGCCGGGGGAGCTCCCCCGTGGGCTCAAGGCGGCTCGTAGCGTCCCCTCGCAACTTCTGAAAGTCACGGCTGGGTCGGAGCTGCGGCCTCTCCAGCCGAGCCCCTCACGGGGCTCCCGCACCGTCCCCGGCAGGCCGTGTCCCCTCGCTTCACCTGTCTTCAGCTTCTCTGAAGTAAAATATCTCTGTCGGTTTGGCCAAGGAGATGTAAAACATAAACAGAGAACTCAAATTTTATGCTGCATAAAGGATCACAGAATCACATAATAGGGAAGGCTGGAAGGGACTACAGTGGGTCATCTGCTCCAGCCTCCCTGTCTAAGCTGGGTCATCCTAGAGCACAGGGCACACGATTGTGTCCAGATGATTCTTGAATATCTCCAGTGAAGGAGACTCCACAACCTCTCTGGGCAGTCTGTTCCAGTGCACCATCACCCCACAGTACTGAATTTTCCTCACATTCTTGTGGAACTTCTGTGCATCAGTTTCTTCCCATTGCTCCTTGTGTCCTAATGGTTAGCACCAAGAGCCTGGCTTCAGTTTCTTGCACACTTTCCCCCCACACACACCTTTAAGTATTTTTACACATTAATGAGGTCCCCTCAGTTTTCTCTAGATGAACAGGTCGGCCTGGGCACAGGCTCTGCTGCCTCAGGAGTGCTGGGTACCAAGAGCCATGGCCCCCCACTTTAGGTATTCCACAGACCCTCACTCAGGAGTGGGGGCTGAGGCAGGGCTTGCTCTTGGCAGCCTTCAGCTCCTTTCCTAAAATGCACACAAATGTTCCCCTAAATGCCATGAAACTCGCCCAAGCCTGCTCAGGCTGGGATCCTGCACAAACCAGCCTGCCAGTTCAGCAGAGGTAAGACCTGGGTATGTTCTGCCAACATCATTTCACGTGAATCAGCCAAAAACTGTCCATCGATAGTCACCACTATCCCTTGTCATTACCTCTTTGGGGATTTCAACAAAATGGGAGATTTTTTTTGTGTCTGGATATTACCCCTCCCTGAGCTCTCTTCTCCCATGTGCAATATGTTTCTTCCCTTACAGATTAAATTTCATCCACTAATTGACAAGTACACATCTTACTTGGAGTTCTGCCCATTTTTGACATTGAGCATGTGGCTCCTTTTGAACAAGGTGTAGCTGTGATTTACACCAGTGCACAATTTTTCCTTGTTTCCTAAATGTAGTTTTTGTAATACAGTGTTGTCAGCTGTCATGATTGTTTGGTGAACTGATGTTCTGTGGTAGAAATTCTGTAAAGTTCCATTTATACAAGTCAAGTAAGAATTTTGGTTTTAATCTAAAAGGAAAATGTCCGTTTCTGGTCTTCTGATTTCAGCACAAACTTATGTTGTGTGCTGTAGCAGCTCTGAACCAAAAGGAAAGGAAACATAAATGTGTTATTATGACCATCACTGGTATTGTTTTATTTTAGCTCTCTTGATACTTGTGTCCCTGATTCTTTATAGCCTGGCAATGCTTAATATAAGACACAGATAAAAAGACTTGTGCAGCTTACACAACCACCTGTTTCTCTGCTCTGATATCTCCCCTATATTTTAAGGTGAGACAAACAAGCATTATTACCTACTGCTTATGCTGTTTACACTTACAGAGTCATGGTGGTTCTCTCTGCAAAACTAAGGTGTGTATTTATTCTTATGCCCCCTTGCTTTGAGGGACTATAGTTTTGGCAGTTGAGTATATGTTTTTGTCTGGATGATTTCTGTAAAAATAAGTAATTTTTGATTTTTACAGGCCAGTATCTCAGTAGAAAGCTGTGTTGTACTACGAGAGAGATGCCATTTTCTCTAGATGTGTACAGCATGCCATAGCTTTTCAGTTTGCCATAGGAGAGATCTTCAGGAGTTTTTCAGTCTCTTTGTTTCTCAGACATATTCATACAGAATCTACCAAGAGGAAGAGATGATTGTTTATAGAAAGTTTACTTTGTCTTATTTTCCATTACTGATGAACAGCCTTTTATATCTTTCCATACCACTTAAGCAAATTTTTCCTTACTACATTTTGCCACAAGAACATTCATCTGTCGCTTAACAGTTTTGACTCCTGACCTTGTCATGGTCAGGCTAACACCACCTACACACACACTCATACAAGTACTCTTCACCTCTCAGAAGATATTTGCCACATGGTTTGAGAGGAGAGGTCATCCTTTCTCAAGGGGCTGCATTGCCAGCATCGTAGTTTGGGTCACCTGTCCATTGACTCCCAAATCTCTCTGTAGCTATATTCCTGTTTCCCACACCCTTATGTCCCCTTGATTGGCTGGTTGCACAACCCACCTCATCAAGGGCTCCAGGTTCTGTGGCAGAACCAGAGGAAGTAGGTTCGCTCCATTGCAACCATGGCAACATTTTTCAAAGATGCAGCCTACAGTCCTTGTGAGTCTTCCAGTTTTCCATGGCAGCCTCGTTTCTCAGAGGCTACATCTACTCCAGGAATAAGTATATTGCAAAACACGTAAGTCAATATTCAATAAAATACATCCTTAGTGTGTGCAAAACCATCTGAGCTCTAAACAAGAGTGGAGGACTACATACAGTGCTGTGAACTTAATATAAGAATTGAACAAAAGGCAGAGAGGTCATTTTAACTTTTGTTTCAGAAAGGCCCTGTGCCATTAAATCAGCCAAATGTTTATAAATCCAAAATCTTAGCTGTGTTCTCACTTGTTAAAGCACAACCAGAAAAAGCACTTTGGTCTTTAGGTTGCCCTTTTCCTGAAGATATGAGATTCCTAAGAGACCTTACGCTTGGATATACTGGGGACCTAGGGAGTTTAGAAACAAACATTTTGGTTTGCTGTCCTGCTGTACCAAGCCACATTCTCAAATTTAGGGAGCTCATGAATTTTCGTAATGTTCAGGAGTGACTTGGAAGTTGTCTCTGTATGTTTTGATAGGGCTTATGTTATGTATTCACATGTGAAGTATCAAGGGTTCGAAATAATGCGCTCGGAAGAGTGGGAGTAAAAACTTCATCAGCCAAAAATTATTTTGTGGGAGAGTGAGGTAGAAGAAAAAAGTATTTATGGAACTTCATAGTCTGTGGTATTAAAATCAATGGAAGAGCTTCCACTGCCTGCAGTGGCAGTGGATGTGGGCACTGATATCTATAGTCAGCCTGTAGAATGAACTAACACTAGGTTCAACAGTAGTGTGTTTTTTACAATGCTTGTGTAGATACGCATTTCCCAGATGTTAGGTCTTCTCCACCGGTGTTTGTTTTCTGAGTTTCTTTTGAGTTGAGCAATGGACACTAGGCAGCCTCTCTTTCCTCTAATATGCATCACACCTGGCTTCTGTAGCAGCACCATGCCACAGGTTTGTTCCATAGGTACTACCGAAGTCTATCGGTCTATAACCAAATTGTTTCCACTGGAATATTTCTTAGTGGAAATGCTTCTATCACAAGCTGGTAAGAAGTTATTTGACACAGAGCCTAAATTTTGAGTTAAACATACTTTATATCCCTTGCTTGCAGTCCTTTAACAGGATAGGTTTCCTTTTTTCTCATTCACAACTTGCAGATCACCAGTTTGTTCAAGAGCAGGGGATTCCTTTCCAACTTGAGAAGCCAATGCCACTGCTGCCAAATTAACTGGGAGGACAGTAGTTCCATGTGCTCTTACTGATTGTATGTGGGACATCTCACTGTACTGAGGGCAGTTTTGTTATTTTGAGTGATAAAGGAGCTTAATTCTCTTCTAATGTCCAGAGTGAACTCATTTGTCAATGTGATGCATTTAATTATTCTCATCACCTCATTTGCTCTTCCTGATGGGGAAAAAGTCTGAACCTTGTTTTACTTTATGGAAGTCAGGATTCTTTCTAATTAATGAAGTTTCTGTTTAGCCAGCACTATGAAAGGTGTTCTTTCCACTGTACACGTGTGTGCTGAAGAACATATCTGCTCCTCTGGTAATTTTTTCAGTAGTACCTTTTTGTCTGAGATGAAAAGGAACCGCTCCTAAGTCCTGAAATGAGCTGTGCGTGCTCCTGAAGGAGAAATTACTCTTTTAAGAGATTCCCAAGAGCTGTAGCCAACCACAGCATACTGTAGATGTTACACTTTTTGTACATTGCATCTTTGCCAATATTTGAATACAAGCCATAATTCAGTGGGAGCATAAATAACTTCCATTCAGAGAGATGGATGCTGTGGTATCAGGCCAAATGGTAAGCCTTGTCAGTGCCTGCATTTTCACTTTATTGATCACACAGCATAATATGATGCTCCTTATTTAAATCCTTCATGCAGATGTTGTACTGGGTTAATTGACAAGCAACTGGATTTGATAATACGTATAAAGCTGTAGCAGGCATTGATTCTTGGATAGTGTGGATGTGCATGTAGTGATCATGGGGTTATGATTCTCAGCGGTGGGAGATGAATAAGTCTGTGG